ACAATTTCATTCAACAATCATGATTCATATAATGATATATGGACCATGATCAGTCACTAGTGGTTACCTACCACTATACCAGACATGAGGTGGGCCAACACGTGGCATTTACAAACTCACCTAATTTTATGCGGCAAATTATTGTATGGACCATGATTAATTGTGTGGATCATGAATATCGGGTACATTTTTAATATATTAAAATTATATTATTTTTGTACTGAAGGTATATTATTTTTATACTAGAGATACATTACATAAAATAATATACGCTTAGTATATTAAAAATGTACTTTTTATTTATGGTCCATGTAATAATGATTGATTTTATGCTGTCTCCATCATTAATAATTAGTTCCTAATATTTTTTTTTTTGAAAGGAGTTCCTAATATTTAATAGGCAAATTATATCGTGCACTGCGCATCAAAACGCCGTCGTTTTATTTAATGAAAAGAAACGGAATCCGTTTCACGCCGTTCTGCAAAAAATAACTTTGTTCTTCAGTTTCATTTTGTATACACTGCAGTTTCAGTTCAACACAACTACAGTTTCATTTTGATATAACTACTGTTTCATTCAATATTTATACACTCAAATATGTGAAAATGTTATTTAATTTTATTTTATATAGACTATAGTTTCATTAAAACACAACTACATGATCATTTCGATATAATTACAGCTTCATTGTACAATATACACTCAAATATGTAAAATGTTACTTAGTTTCATTTTATATATACTGCAGTTTTATTTCACCACAACTACAGTATCATTTTGATATAACCACAGTTTCATTTAATAATAAAAAAAATGATACATGAGGCAGTGTCAGTTTAGATACACTGTAGTGTCACTCCGTTGACACAAACAGCGCGCCGTTTCTTTACTTAAAGAAACGACGTCGTTTTAATGCGCGGTGCATAATCGATTATGCATTACGGTTCACGACTGTATTTAATATGATAAGACAATTAATTTATGTACCGAAATAAATACACAATAACTCATCAAACCTGCACTCAACAAAGCTCCGATTTCCTTGTAATGATTTTCATGAAAAGATCCGAAAAATATTAGAAGTATAATTATTACTCCGTATCATATAATTTGATCACAACCCCTCATTTTGAGACTAGCGAAACAGAGCATCTCCGAAAAATATTAGAAGTATAATTATTACTCCGTATGACCGTATCATATAATTTGATCACAACCCCTCATTTTGAGATTAGCGAAACAGAGCATTCAAATTTTTCCTAAAAAAACAATTATATATACACTAATGTAAATTCACTTTCATTTTCAACATGGGACAAAAACTTCTTCCAAATCTTACCAATTCAAACAGATCTACTTTGAAAAATAATTTCTCATTCATTATTATCCATTTTGAGTGTACAATATATCACTCTACGTCTCGCTTCGAAAAACTCAAATCAACTTTGAACCGACTCAAAGCGGAAGTGGACTCAACTGGTATTTATATCACAAAATAGCCACTTACAATGTCATTTTAAAGCTATTTTCCAGTAGTTAATTTGTAATGAAATTGATTAATTTATAAGTAATCAATGAGTATACAATATATTTATCTCTTTGTCTCACTCCGAAAAACATGAATCCACTTTGACTCAACCAAAATCATAAGTGAACCCACCACTGATATTTTTACCACAAAATAACCACTTAAAATATCATTTTAAAGCTATTTTTCCAACCATTAATTTGTAATGAAATTAATTTTTTTAAGGCAAAAAAGATTATGATGCATTAAAGAAAGACCGAAATAGAGTCAGAGGGATTAGAATCTCGGTACATAGTGTTAGCCTGTGAATAGGCCTCAGAAGCAAGAGTATGAGCTATTAAATTAGCTGACTTAGGTACAAAACTAACAAAACAATGATTAAAGGTAAACATAACGGTTCTGCACTCATCAATAGTATAACCAATATAAGACCGAAACGAGACACTGGGCGCCGTTAAGTTACGTTGGAGGGTGGAGCAATCCGTGAGAAGTTCAACCAACAACACTCCTCGGTTCTTAATCCAGGATAATGCCTCTTTGCATGCCAATGCTTCCGCCATGAGAGGAGAAAGGCAGTCCGGTAAGCCTCCGCTGAAAGCCGCCGCTTGAGGATAACAATACGGCGCCTACTATTGCTTTCCTTGTAGCTGCATGAAAGCCGGCATCGAGAAAGCATCTGTGCATAGCATGGGCAGGAGAGCTGGTGACCATTTGGCTGGATGGAGAGTTGTGTCGCGTATGGACCTACTGCCAAGCATTCAACGAAGCTTTGGCCATCAAAACCACCTTTCTTGGCAACGGCAAAAAGGCCTCCCAAACAGCCGTATTCCTTCCCCTCCAAAGATGATATAGAATAGTCACTGTAAACATAATATCATCACCAGATTAGGTGTCTATGACGCTAGTAAACCACAAATAAAAGTTGTTTGCAACAATATTATGGATAGGAACATGTGCTTCACGCCAAACAACTTGAGCAAAGTCACATAAATTAAAACTAAAGCATGCATAACATCCTCATGTGCAAGACCATACATAGAGCATGTAGGACTCACTTATACTCTTTTTAGAATTAGGTTGGTGGTAGTAGGAAAAACATTATTTAGTGTCCTCCACAAGAAAACTTTACACTTAGGGCGGATCTTAATTTTCCACAAAAAAAAAAAAAAAAAAAAAACCCATTTAGTAAAGGCTCCCGTATTCTCAACAAAATTTTCAACAATGAGCCTATAACCGCTCTTGACAATGTAGCACCCTTTAGGATCCCCAGCCAGTACCATGAATCCTCATAGTTGGAACTTATAAGAATACTAGTGATACGAGCTACATCATTAGGATCCAAAATATCCGAAAGAATAGAGTGATCCCAATTAAGTACCTGTTGTTTGATCAATAAAACTCGAGACCGTTGATCCACACAACTCAGGCGGCATAGTAGTGTGCACTATCAGATCATGCTCATCCGGTATCCAAGGGTGTCCCCGAATCAAAGTTGACTCACCATTCCCAATCCTCTGTCTAATACCACTACAAACCATATCCTGAGCTACCAAGATGCTACGCCAACAGTAGCTTGGGCAACTCCCCAACGTAGCATCAACAAAACCACACTTGGGATAATACCTGGCTTTGTAGACTTTTGGCACTAATGAATCAGGTTTCGTCAGAAGCCACCAAGCCTGCTTCCCTAACATAGCCGAATTGAAAGCACGTAGTTCCTTGAACCCTAGGCCCCCAAACTTCTTGGGCACACACAACCTATCCCATACTTTCCAGTGTATCCCTTTATCTCTACCTGACCCCCACCAAAACTGATTCATTACTCTCTCTATTGACAAATACACTGATCCAGGAAGCAAGAAGACACTAATTGAAAAAGTTGGCATAGACTGAGCCACACTTTTCAAGAGAATTTCCTTACCAGCCTGCGAGAGAAGCTTCTTGCTCCATGTACTTATCCGTTGTCTTATCTTGTCTTCAATATAAGAGAACAAAACTTTCTTGTGTCTTCCAATAAAAGAAGGCAACTCCAAATATTTACCAAAGTTTGGAGTCTGGGCAACCCCCAAAACATGCACTACTTCCTCTTTGTCCACATCTGATGTGTTCCTGCTAAAGCATATACTAGATTTATGAAAGTTGACTACATGACCAGGGAGATTCTCATACACCGAAAAACAATGATTCACTACCCCAGCTTCCTGCGTATTAGCTTTGAAAAATAATAAACTATCATCAGCAAAAAATAAATGAGTAATAGGGGGTGTCCCGCTGGCAACCCTGCAGCCATAAATAAAGCCTTCAACCTGAACCTGCTATAAAAGTAGAGTGTCCATCTGCACAGATTATAAACATATAAGGAGATAGTGGGTCTGCTTGTCTGAGTCCCCTGGTAGGCACCAAATGGCCACTCCTCGCCCCATTAACCAAGAAGCTATAAGATACAGAAGTAACAGAATACATAACAAGCTTGACCCACCTATCATCAAACCCCAGCGCCACCAGCATCCTACAAAGAAATACCACTCCATACGGTTATAGGTCTTTGCCATATCCAATTTGAGAGCCCCCACCTGTAACAACCCAAAAATTTCATTTTATAAATCCAGTATTAAGAAATTCCAAAATAGCTTTTTTCACTCCATTAAAAATTTTTGCGATCAATCGGTGGTTGAATAAAATAATTTCGTCGCATTTTAAAATTAATTCGACACCGAAGAAATGAATTCTATTCGAAAATTTCTAAGTTTTCGGGTACTTCGCTTACCAAGATTTAAATCGAGAATTTTATCTGAGTGAGACCAGGAGAATTCAAAAGGGATTTTTGAACAAGTGTTCATCCAAATAGCTTTTGGGAAAATTCACTTTCAACCCCAAAGTAATTAAAGATAGTATTTTTAGCCTATGGTTCATGTTTCATGGTGGACCACAAGACAACCAAAAATCCCTTCTTGATTCATCTTTTAGCTTGTGCAGTGGAATTACCCATTTGCCCTCAACCAATCATTGTGAATCATCCTAGGGTTTTGAACCCTATATAAACCACCTTATTCCATCTTGATTCCCTGATCTCATTCTTTGCCTCTTCCTCACCATTTTGTCTTCCGAGAACAAGAAGAGAAACAACATCATAGTAAGCTTGTTCATCCTTCATTTCTAGCCTCTTTTCTCTTCTAGTTTCCTTTAGTCTTTGAGATTCTAGGCTAAGGTTATATGGTGTGTTTGGGAAGTATAGGTGGCGAAGGAGGCTCAAGCTAGGTAGGGAGGAAGAAGAGATCCAAGCAAGAAGATTAGACTACAAGAGGTATAACCCCATGGATTCCTCTTTAAGTTTTGGCTCTGTGAAGCCTTAGTTATGAATAGAAATGAGTAGAAACTATGAGTTTTTGGTGTGTTCATGCTTAGAAGTGATTTAGTATGTGTTTGTGAGTTGTTGAGATTGTTTTGGACTTTTTTGGATGAGTTTTTGCGGGAGAAATATCATCTGGTGCACAACACAGTGTGCACCAGATAAGAGGGACGGCCCTAGCCGCCGGCTAGAGCCATGGTGGCACGGGGCTAGGGCACGGCCCTAGAGGAGAGTCGTTGCCTAGTCTCGGTGCTTTAACGGGGTTCATGGGGCGGACCATGAGGAGTCCCGCCCCAGGTCCCTGAGTTTGTTCTGTGAAAGATTTTGTGCAGTGGCCGGGCCCTTGTGGCTCAGCTGCGTGTCATTTCGGGCCGAGTGTTACGGGTCCTTGTGGCTCGGTTCTTCGGGATCGTCTCGACGCACGTTTTGGCTTTGATTTCGTTGAATTTGGATTAAAAACGAGTATGTTATGAAAGAAATTGTGAATAATTGCTACACAGTGCTTATTTGCTAATTTACTGTGTATGAAGATTTATTTGATTATTGTGATCTGATGATATTTTATTGAGTAAAGAAGCATGATCATTTGAGAATGTGATTTATTATGAATGTATGATTAAATTGTGATATTTGATCAATGAAAAACGAAACATATTTTATTGAGTGAAATGTATGGAAATTGCTATTTTGCAAACCGAGCATGATGATATATTCTTGAATACTTCATGTTAGTTTATACATGATTTAGAAGCATGTTATAGAGCATTTTGACATTTCACATGAGTCATATTTCAAAAATGCATAAGGGGCCAACGTGAGCCCAATAATACTTTCAAAAACCATAAGCATGTGGTATATCATTCTTTGATGCATTGAGAAGTAGTAGAATTGTTGCATGCATGAGATTGATGCATGAGAGATATATCTATGTATTATCTATATTGGTGAGGTTTTGGAGGATACCGTTTGGACTATGTTCCTCTCGGGAGATATTTATGGACATTGCGGTCCTAGTATATGTAACGCGGCATATTCCCACGTTACGAGGTTGGAAACTTCCCGCCAAGCTTGGAATCCTGGTTAGGGGGTGTGCGCACTAATAGTTCGATACCTGATTCCACAGAGTTGAGCCACGAGATTGGTTCCGTAGACGGTAGGAGATATTGGGTCGGAATTATGCCATTCCCGATGGGGTAATCCACACTTCTGCGAAACCCTAAGCCGTCTACGAGTATAAGAGAAAGAAAGAGAGTCAACAGAGACTCAAGAAAGAGAGTCAACAGAGACTCAAGAAAGAGAGTCCACAGAGACTCAAGAAAGAGAGTCAATAAAGACTCGAGAGAAAGAAAGAAAGTCAAGAGAGACTCGAGAAAGTAACAAAGAGACCTCCATAGAAAATACTCTAATTTATAAAAGAGCGTATGAGTATATTGTTGCACTAGATTGCATATGAGTATGAGTATATTACTGATATGAACCTAGTCCAAGATTCAAATAAGATGAGTATTGTCCCAAGATTACTCTCAGTGCAAGATAGAGATGGATCAAAATACCTTAAACCTCACGAGAAACCCTTTGTCTCGAATCCTCAAAGACTTGGAAGAATCCCATTGTAGCTTCAAGTACCTCGATGTTGCAATCTTCAATCAACTAGAGTCGGATCTAGTTTCCTTCGATTCAAGAACGAGTCCACGAACCTAAATCTAAGGTTGAAGAAAGTAAGATTGATTCGAGTCCACGAATCAATTTGCTAGTCGAGTCCACGACTAGCCACTAATTGAGTCCACAATTAGCCATAAGGTTTCTTACACAAGTGTAAAGAAAAAACTTAAGAATTTTATTGAATTAAAGCCTCCTCAAAACTGATATGGATGTGCCCTATTTATAGGTATAGGGCAGCATTGTAATCTAAATACAATGGGAAAAAGAGTCATAAACCTAATCTAGAAAACAAGTAAATAGAGTTTTATTTAGAAAAGGATTTAAGGAATCCTTTCTAAATACAACTAGTGTTTTCTCTTTTATGCCAAACAATTTAAATTAATGATGACCAGAAATAATAGGGCTGATTTGGGCCTAATTTAATCACCAAAATCAGCACTTAAACAATTATATAAAAAAAAAAGCCTTGAGTTATTCTTCATATTTTGCAAATGGGCTTGACTTGGATTTCCACCATCTTTGAACATCACCAATGAAGAGTTGCCTTAATTGTTTGGACTTGGGCCTTGTGATTGGCCCAATTAGTATTCTTAATGGATCTTCATATGTTGGGCCGCATCATCCTCCCCTTCTTGAAAATGATTCGACCTCGAATCTTGTAAGCATTGTCTTCGATCCATGATATCACTTGAAATTGGCCACTATAATATTTTCCTCTATCGAATGGACTTATTATTGGTCTTTGTTGTTTCTTCCATCAATGATGTTTTAAGGTCGTCGTTATGGGCCTTGTGATGAGCCCACTATTTACCCTTTCTGGATTCCATGTGTACTGGTTCCTATTATTCTCCCATTCTTGAAAAGGATTCGTCCTCAAATCGAAATCTTCAGTGAAAGACAAAGTAGCAAGCTCACTTTCTGTTTTATCACGCTCATGGAACTTTTTCTTGGGATGCTTGACATGAGTCGCTCCAATCAGCATCCTACAATCAACAAGTAAGGCAATTAAGTCTAATGACACATCAGGGAATTTAAACATTCTGGATGGTAATAATTCAACAAAATGAGACATATTAAATTTATGCATCTTGTTTGAATTGTCAATAAGCACAAAATCTTTCCACCTAGAGCTTAAGGTAAAATCAAACAGAAAATTCATGGAAATATCAAGTAATGATTTAAATGTATTATGGTGGTAAGTAGCACAATTCTGAACATAAGATTCTACATCTTTTTTCTTCTTTGGCCAATTAAAATATTCATGCAAAACATCATTACTCATTAGAAAATCAAAATGTCCCTTATGTGAATCAACAATTAAATCATTGCCCAAAACAAAGCAAAAAGTGTCAATCCCATTGACTTTGAACCAAAACCCCTTGTGCAAGTGGTATTTGCCATAAGAAGTTTTCAAATGTTCCTTATAACTTCCAAGTGATTCCTTATCTCTATCAAATAAAGTTTTAGTAAAATCAAAATTAAGGAATCTTGGATGTATGGAGGCAAACAAATTTCTAACATATCTGGCAAGTAGGTCATTAATAGAAACATGGCAAACAAATCTAGAGAATTTTAATGCATGCTTTTGAAATAAAAGTGAGTAAATAGTTACTCCCCTTCTTTTCTCTTGCTTATTATCTTTTTTTTGTTAGCAAGCGAGGCTGCACTTTGATAGCTCTGGCTGGTTCTTTCCACTGTACCACTGATAGCGGTTCCTTTGTTTGGCTACAATCTAAGTTAGAGGACTGGAGTGGTGACTCCAATTCTAAACGTGGAGGTTCCAGTTTGCTCTCTTTGATTTCTTCTTTCTTCAAGGCTGGTTTGAGAACTTGCTTCGATCTCAATTGAATTTCTTCTACTTGTTTTGGAAGTAGAGGCTTAAGTACATGTATAAATCTATTATAGGTGACATTGCATGTGTTGTTGAGTGCATTATAATAAAAACGTCTATCATGTTGCCATGACCTTCCAAGTGAAACATGTGCAGTACGCATTGGCACAATATCGCATAGAACCTCATCATAATACTTGCCAATACAAAAAGAAATAAAAACTTGTTTAGTCACTCTCACATCCCTAGAATCAATAAGATTGTATGGTTGGGGGTGATTGATAAGAGGTAACTTAAGGTAGTCCACCATGGCTGCACTAGCTAAATTCATACAACGATCCGAATTGATAACGATAATGCATCCCTTTCCATGAATGTTTCCCCTAGTATAGAGTGGCAGTTGCACTCGCTTAGGGTGTTGCTCTAGATTAGTCATTCGAGTGCTTAAACCTTCCATGGCAAAGGCTAGAGCATCTATTTTATGCTCTAATCTCTTACGTGTGTTTAGAACCTCTTCAGCCATCTGTAGATGAGAAACAAAATCTAAAAACAAGAAGATATGTGAGTATTCATGTTAGTGAAACCAAAAAGTTGGCTCGCTCTCTCTCTATTCTCAGCTCACAGGTAAGAGGTGGATTATATGGCTCGGGGGTGCACTACACACTCTTACAAACACACACTCCACTCGTGTATCGCTCAAGGTGGCAGATACTCTCACAAGCCTTTTTCCAAAAAGGAAAATTCTAGTCCGGAACTCAAGTTGGTATGGATTCAACCTCAAAGTTCAAGAAAACGTACCTTGGAAAACTTCACAAGCCTTTGAGAGTAAGGGTGTATCGCGAGATAGGTAATAAAATTGAGAGCAAGAAGCAAATAAAAATGACAATACGAGCAAAGAAACTAAACAAGATTTGAAAGAAAAAGGAAACCAAAGAATGAAGTATGGCAGAAAGATATGTAAGACCAATATCAAAAGATAGAGACAAATAGAATAAAAGGGGTTCACGTGTACCACAATCAATTAGGAATCTATCAAGAACTCCTTCCAACCTTATACTTTTCCCCTTCCTTTTCCCTCCAAAATTCTCCTACCAGCCAAATTCTTTCCCCAACCTTATTCTTCTTCTTTATTGCTTTCTCTTTTTTTTTTTTTTTTTTTCAACTTTATTGATTTTTTTTTTGATAGGTAACCTCCAAATAACTACTGTAAATAACAACAAAAATTTCGGACCAAGAGGAACCACACAACCCCTTCAAAACAGAATCAAGAATTTCAAGAATCGCCCAGAAAAACAGAAACAATGGTCTTACTTCGAAGATCAATATCTCAATGACCGTAAGCAAAACTAGCTACTCTACGCCTCGGATCTCTAGCGCGCTCTGGGATCTACTCATCTGTGCCTGAAAGCCAAATATATCTGTTCATCGAGAGATGCTGGTAACCCACTCCAACGCGTTGAAATACAATATAGGTATATATATAGATATAGATATAGGAAAACCATTTTGAAGCAGGAAGATATATACTTAGAAGACTCTAGCTTTAAAATCAGGGATAGACTCAGCAAATAAGGACAAGCACATTAATCAATGATAAACAGTTAAGTAGAGATAACATCATAAGGAATACACATCTAAGGTCACAGATTCAATTCAAACACATCATCATTCAAGTATCATTCATATCACAAAATCATTGATGGCGCCACAGGACCAATCGCATGCCCCGAACATGAAGGCTAATGCTTATAGCATTAATACGGCCCCGCAGCACCCTACCTCAGTACCGTGGTATGAGGGGAGTTGATCGCAACCAACCCTTTGAGAACCGCTGACGAACTCAACGTCGGACCACGATCCGACACACCGCTGACGCACCTAGTCGGTGAACCGTGATCCCCTTTACAAGGGGGGACTTACGACCCTACACACCGTCGATGCGCACAGTCGGTGGACCATAGCGGATCAAGCCCGGCTTACCGCTGAGCTATACTCAGTCGGTGGGCGAAGATCCTCGGAGACTATGGCCCTTCACACCGCTGTCCCACCATTCGGTGGATCGCAGCCAGCCGTAGCCCTACACACCGCCTGATTACTCAGGTCGGTGAACTACAGCCTTCCTCGGCTTATTGGCCCTACACACCGCTTGGCACGTTCAGTTCGGTGGGTCATAGCACCGAGGCCCATAGTTGGACCGCAGCCCAAGAAGTGTATCAATTTGGCCTTAGCCACTTCTGAGCCTTAGCTCAGGAACAATCCATTGGCCTTCAGCCACTTCCGAACCTTTAGTCCAGGATCAATCCATTCGGTCTTCAACCGACTTCCGAACCTTAGTCCGGGAACACTCCATTCGGTCTTCAAGCGACTTCCGAACCTTAGTCCGGGAACCACCCAATTGGCCTATAACCAAAATGGGGGATCATGCAACACATAACACATAGGAGCACGTAGTAGCACATTGGGAGGGGAATGACATATAAATAAACTTACGTGTGATCATTCACTTACTAAGAATAGTCCTAAGGGTTCATACAACTTCCACCTAGGTCAACGGTTACCAATTCAACTAGCATGCAATTCCTAAGACTCATTTAACCTACGAATGGTGCCTGAAATATCAACTAGACTCAAGCACGACAAAAGGGGTCCGTTGGGGCACCATGGGGAGCGGGGAACATCAAACGGGGAAGCCAAAGACCCGGGGTGGGGTACGAACCAGCGGGTAGCCGGTGGGTGGGGGTCACCCGCCGGCTGCCCGCCGGAAGGCGTTGTTCCGGGCACCGGGCAGTGTCCCTTTGGGCAACGGGTAGGTGGTGGGTTCCCCTACCCCCACCTACCCCCCACTGACTCTTTTCTCATATACTCGTCCCGAGAACCTTTGTGGAACCCGAAACCATGCTTAGATACTTTTAAACGCAAATAACGACACCACGTAAGCAATTAACGGATCAAAAGCAAGAATCATGCAGGACTTATCCTATTACGACTTCTAAATATAAACAACACCCGAACATGCGAATTCTCACCCAAATATAAATCAAGAACATCACAATACAAATTCTCAATCCAACCTAGGGCTCTAATCCCACCCAAATCATCAATGACATATTTTATCTTTAACATCAACAAATATCAAGATTCGTCAAGAATCATCACATCATGATCAAGAACTTCTTTTTAACATCAAGATCATCAAGATTATCAAGAAAGCATATAAATCATCTTATCAATCATCAAGAACATAACACAATTATCATAGAAAAATTCAATCAAGACACAAGAATATAGAGGGAGGCCAAGGAAGGAGATTATAGCGAAGAAAATAGGTTTTGTTGAGACATGGGTTACCTCTTAGCCTTAATTAATCATTCCTTGGCTATTAAGGTTCTTCCCTAAGATTTCCATCCGTTTTGATCTCCCTAGGCTTGGTGGTGGGGAATCCCTTGGGAATTCTTGTGTGGTGATATCTATTGTGGTGTGACTTCTAGGTGCCTCCTATGTCCTTATATATATATATATATATATATATATATATATATATATATATATATATATATATATATATATATATATATATATATATATATATATATATATATATATATATATATATATATATATATATATATATATATATATATATATATATATATATATATTTAGGAGTCCTAATTAGGGTCTGAATGGTATGTGTTTACTAATTCTATTCCTTATAGGACTAAGGACTTGTTTTAGGGATAAGGGTCCATGGTCCATGGTGGACCATATTAATTAATTAAAGAGAATCCTAACCATAATCTGAATAGTAAAGGTATACTTTCTTTATTCCTAATAGGTGTGTAGGCCTAGGATTCCTAATTAGGATCTGATTAGTAAAATGTTTATTTTCTTTATTTCTAATAGGCTTATGACTCTAGTTTAGGCAAGGGTCCATGATCCGTGGTGGACCACATTAATTAATTAAAGGGATTTCTAATCAAATTAAATCCTTTTTAATTATTATTAATGAAATTAATTAAATAATTAATTCGGGATTAAAGGCCGTAACACGGGGTGTTACAAGTATATTGTTGCACTAGATTGCACAAGAGTATGATTATATTACTGCACTAGATTGCATATGAGTATGATTATATTGTTGCACTAGATTGCATATGAGTATGAGTATATTGTTGCACTAGATTGCATATGAGTATGATTATATAATTGCACGAGATTGCGTATGAGTATGAATATATTATTGCATTAGATTGCATGAGAAGTATGATCATAATGTTATACGTGATTGCATGCGAATAGAGCATCGTAAGAGATTGTATAATGAAAAGTTTGACTTAAGATATTCCTTTGAGCATGATTACCGTGTTGTAGTAGAAGCTCTACTTATCAACTTATGAGATAAGAATGTGAAAGCATGTAAATACCTGTTATTTGGTCTTTTGACATGATCCAATCCGTAAGCATGAATTTCTTGTTAAGTTATTTAAGAAGTTTATAAGCTGTTGAATCTATGTGAACAGTCTTGTACATACATGAGCATGCCAGCTGATATTATAGGGTGCAAGCATTTAGAAAGAATGTGATAAATCTTAAGATGTTTTGAGATTAGCTTATTGCTATAAAGATATCAAATGTTTTCAAAGTATATGCTAGAATGCTTTACAGGGTTGAGTGTGGTTATACTTAACTTCGTGCTAACGGGTGTTTTCCTATTTGTCTATGTGTTGCTTGCAAAACCCTTTCAGGTGGGCCCAACAGTGTGAAGAAATCATGTTAGATTAGTCTCGTAGATAGAGATGTCTAAACTCTAGTTTTATTGATGCTATGTATGGATTTTAGTGTTATCGACTTTATGTTTGAGGATTGATGTAGACTGTTTGGGGTGACGTTTTTCCCCCTTATGTTTCCAGTATTTATTTTTAGTACCCAGACTTAATCTTAATTCTAGTTTTACCCTTTTAGCCTGTGCAATCACCAAAGAGTGGTGGTTGTGGCAGTGACACTCCCACTAGTTATCTTTTAGTTTTCCGCTGCTTAGTTTATGTTAATGACTGTTTAGAGATGTAATTAAGAGTTAGAAAAGTGGGGTGTTACACCACCCTTGAACACCACACTGTTTTCTATTCAAGTAATGCCTAACCTCGGAAGCTAGCAAGATATTATCAGTGATTAGTCTATTTGGAATAAAAGCACTTTGAGATTCCAAGATCACCGGATCTATAAGTGGCCTCATTCTATTTTCTATCGTCTTGGCCATAATTTTATAAATAACGTTGCACAGGGCAATTGGTCTAAGATCAGAAACTAATTCAGGGGCCTTCTTTTTAGGGATAAAGACCACATTTGTATCATTCAACCCTTCCGGGAAGACACACGTATTTAGATAGTTAATCACAAAGGTCGACATGTCGCCCCCAACCACATCCCAAAGGTGTTGATAGAAACCCGAATTCATTCCATCCTGGCCAAGTGCCTTATTAGGAAACATTGAAAATAGGGCGGCTTTAACTTCCTCCACCACGAAATGGCGAAGGAGGTCACCATTATGACTTTGAGATACACGAGGCACAACAGAATGGAAAATACTATCAAAATAATTCAAGATAACAACTTTCATCATATCTCCCTCCACCCAATTCCTAGAATCATTCTTTAATCTAGTAAGATAGTTTTTCTTCCTACGGTTAGAGGCATACCTATGGAAGAACTTAGTATTGACATCTGCTCCCTTAAGCCAGTGCTGTTTGGCTCTCTGTCTCCATAAGCATCCTCCTAGGCTTCAAGCTGGCACAATTGCGCCTCAACACGTTGGTATTCGACCAAAGAGACCGCGTTCGTACATCCATTAAGAAAGGGATGCTCTTTTTGTAGGTTTCCGATATGCTCACCAAACTTATGAAAGTGATCACCGTCTCAACGAGTCAAGCGGTCACCACAAAGCTGCAAACAACCCAAAAGACCACCATCATTGCCATCTACCCAAGCCTTTTCCACAACATCTCTACATCCCTCATCATGCAACTAGGCCATCTCAAACTTGAAGCCCCTTTTTATTCTGCCACCACTCCCCCACGAATCATAGTCCCCTAGGAAGAGAGCCAAGTGATCTGAAGAGCGTGTCAACAAATTAAGCACACTAGCACCCGTGACAGTACTACGCCAACCCTCACTAGCTAACACCTTATCTAACCTTTCCTCCATCCAATCCACTGTGCCCCTCCCCATCTCCCAGGTATACGAATAACCCTACATAGGTAATTGAGTCAAACCACAACAATCCACGGTGCCCCCAAACTGCGTAGGAGATCGTCAGGATGTGGGTTTCTACCCCATTTCTTGTACTGAAATAGGAGATCATTGAAATCTCCCAGGACAACCCAAGGAAGATGAGACCTAGTAGCAAGACTTTTTAGCAACTCCCAAGACTCAGTTCTTCTACCTCGTTCAGGAAAACCGTAAAAACCAGTCATACGCCAGTTAGGGAGACCTGAAAGGCTGACCTCCACATCCACATGATTCCTGGAATAGCTTAACAATCTGGCAGTATTATTCTTTCTCCATAGTAACGCTAAACCACCACTTAACCCAAAACTATCAACAGAAAATAACCCATCAAAGCCAAGCTTGATGCGGAGACGTTCAACGTGTATCCGCCCCACCTTGGTTTCGATGAGAAAGACAAAATCGGGCTTCTTACAAGACACAAGATCTGCCAAATCGCAAACTGTGTGTGGATTGTCCAAGTCACGACAGTTCCAACTTATCGTACTCATTGGGATGGCCGGGTCTGGGAACTAGAGCCCGCCAATAACAAGTTGTTTGGAACCACTTCTGTCATTGTCACATCGCTACTATGGCCTCCCCCCTCCTACTATTGCCATTAGACATCTCCCTACGCCTTTTTGAAACAGTAGCCACAACCACCTCCTTCTCCTGCCTACTGCCCATCGACCCCCTTCCATCCTCACTACACTATTCCGCCGCGTCACTAGCAGCTTCATCCTTACGTGGCTGACCACACCGGAACCAACCAAGGGTCCCCATTTTCTCTCGGTCCACATCTAACCCTTACCCCAAGCTCTACACTGAACGGATACTGCTCAACACTCATGACCGCCTCCCATGCCTTGAGACAAAACTTGTGAGAATGCCCTAGCAAGCCATAGAAGAAACAAAAGGTATGGAGTCTTTCGTACTTGAAGGTCACCCATCAAGTCTTTTTGTCTCGCTTCAACAGCTTCATCCTGCCATGCGTTTGTTCGGCCGAGCTACTGGTATAGCAACCCGAACGTGATAAAACGATCTCCACGGACCTGTTATCCCACTTAATCAATGTTTCGATAAAATTACCTATATATCAAGAATGAAGTCGGAGAGAAAGCCAAGAAAGAAACAAGAAACCCTAGAAAAAACCCTAGGAGAAGAGAGAACTCTAGACGATGCTAGAAAGAAATCTACGTGGATACAAGAGGAAAACAATGTAAGTGACAAATAAGTAACATCTTCTCGTAATGAAATTGATTAATTTATAAGTAATCAATGAATATAATAATCACTCATTTCATAATGCAAAGTTTGATACAAAATCATTTTCCCTATCAAATCAAGTCATATGAGGGTTATTAAAATGTTTTTGGAGTTGTAGAACCTTGAAATATAAAGCTGGGAAGGGAAAAATAATGCTACTAATGTAGTTTCAATATAAGGAGAATAAAATATGAATTTCATACTTTACTCCTCCAACAATATAGGATTATTGAGATTTCTATAAGGTTGAGACTTGAGAGAAAAGGCAAATTATTGTGTGGATCGTGGTCCACAGAGCTGTATGGACCTTGATCCAAAACGACATCGTTGAATATTATGAGCAGTGTTGTAAAAAAGGCACTCCCAAGTCGAGACGATTTCAACCCTAGGCGGCTTTTAGTTGGCTGCTCGACTAGGCACCAATTTGGGCGCCTAACTCCGCTTAGTTGGCGTCTACTAGGCTGAATCGGCGCCAAACTCAGTCGCCGAATGGTATTTTTTGCTTGCTCGGTTGCTTCTCTTCTATATTCCTCTAGTCATGTACTCAACTAACTATCTAATATATGTAATTGACTAGTTTGTGGGATTATAATAGTCTAACAACTCACAACCCTGAGTGAGAAAAGTGGATACGATATACTCGAATTACTTGACCACCTAAGAGGCACTAGGCCTTAGGTGCCCCTCGGACGCCCGACTAGCGCCTACTGCAACATTGATTATAAATTAGAATAATATACCTTATGTCTTATAATAATGTACATTATGTGTTAGAATAATAAAATTTATGGGGTAAGTTAATATATTTTATAAGTTAGAATAATGTACACTATTCTTTAGAATAATGTATGTTATAAGTTATAAAATATATGTTGCAGCGAGTCGCATGAAAAAAAAACACAAAGTGAAGTCGTTTTTGTACAGTTGTCTACACAGCTTTATTGTATATGTTGTTTTAAGGCCCGCTTCCGCTTTTTTGGCTGGCCCACCAGTCCACTTTTCCAACTCTATTTATTAAGCCCTCAGAGTTGGAACGTTATGCTGTGGAATTGTGCCCACCTTGCAAGGTGGATACAGTTCCATATCTATAATTTCTATACTGTAGATTCATAATTTCTATATTGTAGATTCATAAAATCTATACTTTAGATTCATAATTTCTAAACCCTGTAGACTCATAATTTAAATACAGTAGATTCATAATTTCTATACTGCAGATTCATCATATTTGTACTGTAGATTCATAATTTCTATATTGTAGATTCATAATTTCTAAACTGTATAGTTATCAAATTATGAACTTATAGTTCTGTGATTTGTGAAAACAGAGTTCAACAGTTGGGAATATAAACATAAAAAATTATGAATACATAGCTCTATAATTATAAACATATATTTATAAAATTATAAGCATATAGCTCTATAATTATAAATCTACAGTATAAAAATTATGAATATGGAACCATACACACCTTTGAGCACGTTTCCACACCCTAATTTGCCCTCAGTGTCACAGTCACGTGATATTGGCATAATTGTTTTTAAGGAAAAGAAAGCAACTTATAAATACAGCAAAAGAGATAAGTGCATTTGCAGTGAGAATTTGAAGGAAGCAGATGGACTTGATGGGAAAGCCGATTGACCATGGCTATCGCATGCCTGCTGAGTGGGAGCCACATTCCCAGTGCTGGATCGGTTGGCCAGTAAAATTTCTACTACTCTTTCTTTCTTTCTTTCTTTCTTTCCTGTACTGTGCTTTGCGCTGCTTGTTGTGTTTGCTATGATATTTTGGCTAGATTTTCTTTCCCTGATGTCTGAACTCTTGTTTGGGGTTTATTTTGATATGAAGAACTGAGTTAATGGATTTGTGTTCCTGGGTTATTTGGAATTTCTGGATTAAGGATGGCAGGGAGGATGATACTTTTGTTATATCTTGATGAAGAAATACTGAAATAGAGAGAAAGCTCTGTGTAAGAGGCTGTAACTTGAGCTTAAATTAAGAACCCAACACACTGGTAAGCTCATAAATCGGGGAAGAAATCTTAGAAGAAATGGGAGAAATAATAGAAGAAAGGAGAGATATTCTATTCAAATCCACAGCTAAACAATAAGTCTGATTATTACAACCAGGTCTTTTAAATTAAGACAAGCAAAACAGCAAAACATCATAACAAATTCCCTATTCTACTGGATCTCCCTTCACAGAATTCTGGAGCTGCCCATTCCTGTGAATCTGTGATGTCATTTAGCTGAATAACTCCAACATTTAATAATTGCAATGGCACCTTTTGGGATGATAGTATGGATTTTCTTCACTCTGTAGTTATACCTTTTTTTCTTCTTCGAGTTGTAGGAACGCCCAGATAACTGGAGGGACAATGCTGTGCATGCTCAACGTGTATTTGTTAGTGTAGCACAGGCTATCTCAAGATTTGAATATGTCACTGTTTGTGCTAGTTCCGCTCAGGTTAGTAATCTGGTGTATATAAGAGAGGTTGAGATCCTTTATATATACCCTTGTACTTACTCATTTTAATTACTATTGTATGCCCTCTGGACAGTGGACCAAGGCACGTGATCAGTTACCAAAACATATCAGGGTTGTTGAGATGAGCATGAATGATTCTTGGTTTCGTGACACTGGTCCAACTGTCAGTTCCTCTTTTGTCATCTTGTTTTAATTAATTTATTATATCGCTATTTTCATTAGTTGGATCAGTTAGTTTTTATGAAATGTAGTTACCATTTTACAGTCACTTCAATGAATGCAGTTTGTTATCAGAAAAGGTGCAGAAAGTTCTCAAAATCTTGAGCCAAGTGTTGCAGGGATTGACTGGACCTTCAATAGCTGGGGAGGTATGCCTTCAAATTTATACTTGCAATGCTAGTCATGAATTTTGTGTTTCTGTCCTGTCAAAGTTTTCTATGGCTGTCATATTATCAGCCAATTGAGTGTAGGATCCTCTGATTTAATACGTGTCAATGCATTATGATGACTAAGAGGAGTCCTGCCTCTAGCCGTGCTGTTTATACTTTCTATTAATGTATTAAGGCATTGTCATCTTGGGATCCAGTTTTATAACAATTTTAACTGTAGTTGCAATTTTCAGGAACTGTTTATTTACAAACTATACTGAAGTTTGTACATTGTACATGAGATATTTTGTAGTGAGGCTTGCAGCCTCTACTAAAAAATGTTGCATATCTTTCCCATCATATCACCACGAATTCAATATAGTACTCATGAGGTTGGGTAATTTGGTCGACTTGGGCCTTAGCCTTAGTAGTTTCCTGACTCCTGATTGCCAAGTACAGGGATTTCCAGGCTAAGGCTTCAAGCACGTAACTCCTCGAGCTTGGCCTCTTGGCTTCTTGACCTTAAGGCTTGTTTTTGTCTGGTCTCTGGTTACTCTGACAAATTATATTGTTGACCATGGCCCAATGTATTGATACCCTTCCAAAAAGATTTTAGGTGTACTTGAACTCCTTTCAAAGATATTCTCTTAGTATTCCATGGATTCTTAATCAGTAGGAAATACTTCCTTTGCAAGCTCCTGTCATTCTGAGTTTATGTTTTGAGTGACTTGCACCATCATGTTTTTCTCTGCTTGCTTGGTACTTTGGAGATTCATGTTTCTGTACTGTGTTGTTTCTAGTATAGGATATATATATTTATATACGGTTAAGAGTTGCTATGCATGATATATATCATATTGCTTTATCAATGTTTCAAAACATTAAGTTTAGTTGCTGATTCAATCCCAGGAATTGAAGATGGATGTTATGCAGACTGGAGTCAGGACCTTCTTATTGCAAGGAAGGTATGCCTAGATCTAAATCTATGCTGCAACCTCGCTGTAACACAATGCAAGTTTGGTTTCCTCTGTTGAAAAACAAAGGGTTGTGTCTGTCTATAGGGTTGTGTCTTTTTATGAATAGGTGCTTAAATTAACAGTTATGTGTCTCTATATATATGTACTATGTTTCTTCATTAGAAACATAGAATTATAGTTGTAACCTTTCAGTATTATATATATTTTCTCATTCCTAGATTCTTCATCTTTACTTCTGCCTAACTGGCGGGTGGTTGTTATTCTCCACCCGCCATGCCTTTGGATCTTTCAAATTCAACATTTTGATAAATTGATTTATATCCTTGCACCTCAGATTTTGAGCATTGAAAGGTTCCCAAGGTTCCCTCAGACTATGATTCTTGAAGGTGGAAGCATTCACGTTGATGGAGATGGTAAATCTGTTCTTTCTTGTAGAATTCTTTTTAGTTCTGAAATGTAGCCTTCTCTCTTTGCCAGGAAGGTGGCATAATGATGAGTGTTGCATGCTAATTACTTAAAATTTGTGTTTCCTCTAGGTACTTGCCTCACCACAGAAGAATGTCTCTTGAATAAAAACAGGAATCCTGATATGACAAAGGAAGAAATTGAGAGTGAACTTAAAGCATATCTTGGAGTCAGCAAGGTTATTTGGTTACCTCGTGGGTTATATGGTATGTTTTCTATCTAGTATATTGCTTAACTATTTAGTGTGTGATTGATCAGCATATTCCCATGCCTCGATGCTTTTGTATTGTTAACACTGAATGGATGGCTGCAGTTCAAACTATTTGCACCTACCCCAATCACCACCATTACTATATACCGTTTTCACACATTATATGCATTGCTATTTTACACGAAGAAAACAAATAGATTTCAAATATGAACTAACTTATTTTAAAAGTTGTAAATTATTGAATTTTGTTCAATGATGTAGAAGAATAAAGGATTCATTGTATTCAGTATAAAGAACTGTACAAATATCTACTATTTATACATGAATAAACTATTAACCTAATGTGCCCATTCCTAAAAGAGCCTAGGGTTTCAACACTCCCCCTCAAACTGGAGAGTATAAATCATATGCTCCAAGCTTGTTACAAATATACCCAACTCTAGGAGTTCTAAGGGATTTTGTCAAGATATCAGCTAATTGATCTGCAGAATTGACAAAGCTGGTTTGATCTGCAGAATTGACAAAGCTGGTTTTGGATACACCCTGACACAATCTTCTCCATGATGAAGTGGCAATCAACCTCGATGTGTTTGGTTCTCTCATGATAAACTGGATTTGAGGCGATGTGTAGAGCTGCTTGGTTGTTACATATTAGTGTCATTTGAGCAACATTGCCTTCAAAAAAAAAAAAATTTTGAGCAACATTGCCACATTGCAACTCTTGTAGTAAGTGCTTCAGCCACATAAGCTCACATGTGGCAAGAGCCATGACCCATTATTCATCTTCAGCACTGGACCTGGCAAGAACATCTTGCTTCTTACTTTTTCAAGATATAAGATTACCACCAATGAGTACACAATAACCCGAAGTAGAGCGCCTGTCAAATGGACAACCAGCCCAATCTGCATCAGAATACCCAACAACCTGAGCATGTCCTCTATCTTCATATAGTAAACCTTGCCCTGATGCTCTCTTGATACCTTAGAACCCGAACATCAGCATCCCATGAGTATCACAAGGATTCTCAAGAAACTGACTCAATACACTAATTGCAAAAGAGATATATGGTCGTGTGATTGTGAGATAATTCAATTTTTCAATTAATCTCCTATATCGTTCTCGGTCAGGCAATGACTCTCCCTATCCTAGTAGGAGTTTAACATTCGGATCCATTGTATTATCCACAGGTCTACAATCCAACATACCAGTTTCTTCTAAAATATCCAAGACATACTTTCTTTGAGAAATGACTATACCACTGTTAGACTGGGCCATTTCAATTCCAAGAAAATACTTTAGCTTGCCCAAATTTTTCGTTTAGAACCGACTGAAGAGATACTCTTTCAACTGAGATATGCCCTATAACAAGGGATGACATTTTTCACTCCCTGTAATAACAATGTCGTCCACATACACTACAAGGTATATGCATTTCCCATTAGAATGACGATAGAAAACATAATGATCAACTTCACTTCTAGTCATACCAAACTCACACACCACAGAGCTAAATCTCCCAAACCAAGTCCGTGGAGGTCTGCCATGTAGTTTGAAGCAGCGATCCTTGGTATGGCCTAACTTGTGGCAGTAGTCACAACGAGGACGATTGCCACGATGAGTACCACCAACACTAGATGGTTCAGAAGGTCCTTTATCGGTAGCCCGAGATGCTAGTACAGATGAATCTCCAATAGATTCAATTGAGGGAGCAGAGGCGACTCGAAGCAGTCTAGCAGCAGCTTCAGTTAAGGTGGGCACAGTAGGACTTGCTAAAATCTGATCTCGAACATGAACCAGATCAGGACGAAGGGTAGCCAAGGTGAACACCATAAAAAACTTATCACATTGCTTCACATGACCATTTGTAGTCTTCTCATGCGGCATTAGGTTATTATATTCTTGCTGTAAAGCTTCTATTCGGCCCAAGAATTTGGTATATCCATATCAACAGTCCCACGAAAGTTAAGCATATTAGAGATTAGAGAATAAAGCCGTTAGAGATCATTAGTGTAAAGGACTTGGCTTTATTCCAAACGTCATAGCACGTTTCATATGCCTTGTAGATGTTGTGGATTTTGGGACCAATTGACTGCCACAACATATTGCACAATAATGCATCCACCTTCCCTCATTCTCCTTTATTTTCTTGAATGTCCTCAACTTTTGTGTCTAGATGGGTAGACATACCTTGGCCTTTGAAGGACGCAGCCCAAGATGCATAATTTTCACTCCCAACTAATTTATCCATGGTGATGGCGGGAAATGGGGTAAAAGTGGTAGAAGTCGATGCCATAACAATAAACAGGAGAAGAAACAACACTGTCTGGTCGGTGGCCGACGGAGGTGACCGGCAAGGATGACGGATCTGAAAACACTACAAGGTGCGTCTCCTTAGGACGAATCCAATGGAGGCAGCGGCACCTTGATCTCTTGATCGGAGATCTGGCTGGAAAACAGTGGGAAACTCCGGCGACGGCTGGTGGCGCGTGAGGGTGCATGTGGCGACGGGTCTTCAAGCCTAGGCTCGTGACGAGGTTCCAAGAGGGCATGTGGTGTTGGTTTGGGAGAAAAACCACTAGGCACACGTCGGAACGAAGAAGACTATCACGGAAGACTCCGGTGGCGGTAGCGGCGGAAAGAAAGGGTTTATTTAGGGTGTAGGCTCTAATAAGATGTTCAATGATGTAGAAGAATAAATGATTCATTGTATTCCGTGTAAAGAACTGTACAGATATCTACTATTTATACATGAATAAACTATTAACCTAATGGGCCCATTCCTAAAAGGGCCTAGGGTTTCAACAAATTTGAACAAATTTTCTAATTTTCC